CGTGGGGCCTGAAGTTGGCCTGGGCGCTGTCCCTCAGCTCTTCAGCTCAAGGCTAGCGATCTACCACTTGAGCCACAGCTCCACTTCAGGTTTTCTGGTGGTTTATTGGAGATAGGAGTCTCATGGACTTTCCTACCCCAGTTGGCTTTGAACCGAGATCCTCAGATCAGTCTCCTGAGTAGCTAGGTGTGAGCATCCAGTACCTGGCTTTCCTTTTTTTTTTTCAGCTAAGTTGTTAGCACACAGAACACTTGTTTGGGGGAAAGGAGCAACTGTCAGTAATATAATGTCTCCCAAACTGGATAAATAGGCTAACTTTGAGAGGCTTCTTGGCTCATGTTGACACACAGCCACCTTGGCACAAACACCTTGTGATGTGGGAAAATTCAAAGTAATTTTTGTCCTCCTCCTTCTCCATCATCAGCATACACAGTTGGGACCTTGACCCTCCCTGCCAACCCCACCCCAATTGGTTTGTCCAATGTGCTATGCAATCTGGACGTCACAGCAGCAACAAGCTTGTGCTCCTTAATTGTGGATTTTGACTGATAACTGATAATTCTGCCATTTTCAGTTCATTTCCCGGAAGTCAGAGTTGGCTCGTGAAAAGTTGTTAAACAACATGCTTAATGTGAAATGTCAACCCTAATTCTAAACTTCTGCTGGTCAGAGCTTCAAAGGAAGACATCACTGGGTTTTTTTGCTTGTTTGTTTTGTTTTGCCAGTCCTGGGCCTTGAACTCAGGGCATGGCCATTGTCCCTGAGCTTCTTTTGCTCAAGGCTAGTGCTCTACCACTTGACCACCAGGTCACTTCCTGCTTTTTCTGTTTATGCGGTGCTAAGGAATCAAACCCAGGGCTTCATGCATGCTAGGCAAGCACTCTAGCACTGAGCCACATTCCCAGCCCATCATCACTGGGTTTTATAATGGCTTTCTGACTTTGACAGTCCATCTAAGAAGGCAGCTTGAAAGTTGTTGTATACTGTTGGAAAAAAAGATTGTCTGCCTATGTCCTGTGTGAAATACCGTGATTTTTTTTTTGTATTTTTGTTTTGTATTGTTTTTTGGACAATCCTGGGGATTGAACTCAGGGCCTGGACACTGTCCCAGAGCCTCTCTGTGCTTGAGGCTAGTGCTCTACAACTTGAGCCATAGCACCACTTGTGGCTTTTTCTAAGGAATTGAACCCAGGGTTCACATGCATGCTAGGCAAGCACTCCACCACTAGGCCACATTCCAGCCCCAATACCATGATTGTTTATGGAAAGTATCTTTAATAAAGCTGGATACAGTTTGGCCTCAAAAAAAAAAATTGGCAGAATACTATTTGCCAAAAGCTGGCAACAGAGTGGGGAGCTCGTAGCTCACCTTTAATCCTAGCTAGTCAGGAGGGTAAGATCTGAGGATCGTGGTTCAAAGCTAGCCCAGGTAAGAAAGTCCATGA